CCCCCCGGGAGGAGTTGACAAGTCGTGTGTTTTTTCCCTCTCTCTCTCTCTCTCTGTGTGCTTGTGTATGGAATGCAATCGCTGCCTCTGATTGGCTTACACTGATACTTTATCCTTGAACATACTCGGGCGTACTATAAGCGGAGCAGACTACAGTCATTCGGGCTTTCATAGTCGAGCGCACTTCGGCGTTGTAGTTTCCTGTAAAAATGTCGGTGAAAAATCCCCGTGATGTGAAAAATACATGCCGAGCAGTCACTGGTGCACACGGTCGTAAAATCTGAGCTTTGTGCGCACAGGGCTTGCGGACGTCTGCTTTGAGTCCGCGCGGACCTCCCCAGGGTCTGTTCCGCGTACGTTCCGCCCGAGTATGTTCGGGCCTTGACAGACACACATCACATGTGTGGAGATACTTCACTTTCCTCCTCCATGTCAATGTGATGACGTCATCAAATGACTTGTCAACTCGACTTCGACTTTATTGACAGATAAGTCGACCTGAAAAAAATCAAAGTCGTTAATGCCCTAGTGTGAAGTTAGACGGATACTCAACATTCATTTTATATTCAAAATACAAATCTATCATGCACTTTAACAGTTTGAATGAATGATATCCTATCTACTGTGCAACATAGAGACTAATATTCTTCATGTGCCACAAGGCTTATTTTTGATATTCATATTTTGAAAATCATTTGGTCCAAAATGAGCAATATTAGTCTCTGTTATACAGTTGGTTTGACATCCTGATGTCAAATGGTTAGGGAGTATAATTGCTTTATATATATATATATATTTCATTTAAAATTATATAAAATATATATAAAACAAGAATTTGACAAACAAGCTCTGCTCTGCTCTGAGTAGGTTTGTTTGAAGGTGCGGCTCAGTGGCCCGAAGGCGGGCATAGATAATTTGTTATGATGCAATTACGTTACGGTTGTAAAGGCAGGAATGCAAAGGAGCCGTTTCAGGCAGCTGAGGAGCTGTGTGTCTGTGGGGAGAGAGAGCTCCCTTTGGCCTGGACTTTGTTTTGTTTTGTTTTTTTACTTAGCAGACCTAATAGATGCTAAGAAATGCTATATAACACACTAAAGAAGAGGGAAAACCCCAAAAAGCATTATAGGTCCTCTTTAAAGGTGAGAATCAGAATCTTGAAATCGATGCGATATTAAACAGGAAGCCAGTGAAGCTGCTGGAGAACAGGAGTGATATGATGTGTGGAGGGGGTTTTGGTGATGAAACCGGCGGCGGAATTCTGGATCAACTGGAGTTTATGAAGTTTATGAAAGCCAAGCTTGTCATTGCTTGGAAAATGTTACATACAGTTTTTATGCTATAGAGCAGTGATATCACTGCTCTATAGCATAAAAACTGTTTGAAATACTTTACAGCATAAATCAAGGAGAGATATCTATCCTTGATTTATGCTGTAAAGTATTTCTTAGCTTGTGCAGCATAGAAACCAAGTTGAGTTTGAATTAGTACCACACAATACAAAATACAAAGTGGATAGGGACTGAAATATGCTTAGTGATGCTGTGTTTGGTTATAGCTACTGCACCTATATCTCATGATAAATGAAACAGTGTTGAAATTCTACTGGGAAAATGTCTAATCACCCTCCTCTGGCCAACAGGAGATGACAGCAGCTTTTGACAGTGAGCTCAGACAGCGGGAGCATGAGTTCAATATAAAAATAGATGAGATGTGCGCTCTGGTGCTGTCTCATGATCTCAAGGTGAGGAAAGTGAAAAAATGGTTTCTCTCTGTAAAAATGTCAGGATGGAGGATGGAGTCCATTTATGTTGTTTATGAATACCCAGTTTGTTGCGTAAGGTTGACACAAACACTAAACACATGTACACAACAAATACCGTATGCTAACAAGTTGTTATGTTTGAAATGCACATTTTGTACAAGTATTCCTACAATGTTTTTATAGTATAGCATTGTTCTCAATCTAGGTAGTCTAGATAATGATGAGTGTGTGTGTGTGTGTGTGTGTGTGTGTGTGTGTGTGTGTGTGTGTGTCTGTGTGTGTCTGTGTCTGTGTCTGTGTGTCTGTCTGTCTGTCTGTCTGTCTGTCTGTCTGTCGGTTTGTCTGTCCAGGTGAAGCTGCTGTCTAAAGAGACTGAAGTTCACTGCCATGCTCAGCATCACACTGCAGAGGCTCTTAAAGCTTCGAAGGAGTTCTGTCAGCAGATACAAACCCAGCTGCAACACAAAGACCAGGAGATCAAACACCTCACTAATGTCAAGGACAACAAGTATGCTTCTGTACTGTGTGTGTGTGTGTGTGTGTGTGTGTGTGTATGAGTGTGTGGGCGTGTGTGGGGGTGTGTCTACTTTTTTAAGATTTTCTGACTACCTTTCTGTCTTAGGATAAAGGAGCTTGAGGACAAGCTGAAAGGGATGGGGACCATACTGAAGAAAGAGGAGGATAAGCACATTAAGAAGTGAGTTACTAAGAACACCAACTCCTCTCAGTGAGGCATTCAGAGCCAGCTGCTGGGAAAGAGTGACAGGCAGCAGGAGAAAGAAAAAACACACCTACAAATGTGCAAAATAAAGAGAAAAATGAGGGGCACATGACAGGGTTTCTGGGATGTGTAAAGTTCTTCTTTATATTGAAATACCTGAATCTATTAGCAGCAGAAATAAAAAAGATGGCATGGCTCAGCAACAACTGTGTGAGAATTAGATACAACATTGGATATGACCCAACCCATCGTTTTTTTTTTTTTAGATTTTTATGTGTCGGTAGGATGGGGCTGGCAAAGATCCTGCAAGATGCTCACTGAGGCAACAACACTAACAATGGGAGGGAGCATGTCTCTGTGAAGGCAACAAAACAAAAATAGTGGAGGATGAGCTGGAGCGTTAAGTCCTTGTAGAGCAGGATGGACGAAATGGGAGACTGTGGCATCCTCTCTGTAACCGGGACATGGGTCACTCACCAGGTGCCAGATCGAACTGTCCAACCATCAGTCCTTCAGTACTTGGATTGAGCAGAGGAGTTCAGATGGGTCAGAAGCTGGTGGAGTCTGTCTTGTGATGAACAATGGTTAGTGTGATTCAAGAGAGGTTGCTGAGGATTTCCATCTCTGAAGCTGGCCCACGTCTTAGACGCAGCCATGGTGTAGTCTGCAAATATGGAGACTCTCTTACCTTTGTAAAGGAGATGACTTAAAGGCCAAAACACACCAGTGGCAAACGCCACGCATCAAAATATGTGCCCCTATTATTTTTTCAATGTAAAACCCCACACTGGCAGTGGCTAGACATGTGTAGGTGCTCATGGACATGCAGCTCTATTGATTGTCTGGCCAAGATACTTTCTCTGTACTTAGATTTTGAAATGATTGTGATGGGTGACCTCAATCTCAAGTGGTTAAGTGGTGCCTCAGATTATCTCAAGGAGGTTAGTGGGAATCTCAGCCTATGTCAGCTTGTCACTGAGCCTACCAGGCCAAATCCTAACAATTATTCACGGTCTACCCTTATTGATCTGATTTTTTCAAATAAAAGTGACAGAATCTCTGCTTGTGGGGTCTTTGATCAAGGTATAAGTGATCACTGCCCCACAGCATGTGTCAGGAGCATGCAGTTGCCAAAAACAAAGTCGCACACTGTTAACAGGAGGAATTTCAAAAACTTTGATAGCCAAGCTTTCCTCAATGACCTGGCTTCCAGTAATATTCATTCCATAATTCAAGCCACTGATGTCCAGGTTGCTACAGACACCTTTGTGAAAACATTTAACTCTTTAGTGGATAAACATGCTCCCCTTAGGAAAATTCAAATTAAGAACAGAGTAACACCTTGGTTTTTACAGGAACTCTCTAGCATGTTCAGAGACAGAAATTTAGCTTGGTCTCGTGCCAGGCACTCTGGTAACCCTCACCATTGGCTCACTTTCAGACAAATTCGAAATCGCTGTACTGCAGCCGTAAGGAAAGCTAAAACCGAGTATTATGACTATCTTATCTCCAGTTCTTTCTCCAACCCAGCTAAATTTTGGAGTGCAGTAAATCTACTTAAACCTAAAGCTTCCAGTGCTCTGCCAACACACATTTTGCTGATGCTGGCCTTCTGTTTGATCAGAAATTCAAGTCTACAGTAACGCCATCAGTTGTCAGCTCTGATTGTTTGTTTTCTGTTTGTTTTTCTTTTAATCCTGTCTCCCAGCAAGAGGTACTTCATCAGTTACTATCAATCAACCCTAGATGCTCTACTGGTGAGGATAATTTAGAACCTTTTTTCATCAGGTTGGCAGCCCCATTTATTGCTGAGCCACTTACATATATATTTAATCTTTCCACTTCCTCTGGTAAATTTCCCCTTGTCTAGAAATCTGCCCAGGTGACTCCCCTGTATAAGGGAGGTGACAGGGATAATCTGGATATTTATCGTCCCATTTCTAAGTTACCTTGCCTCGCTAAGGTTCTGGAGACGCTGATAAACAATCAACTCAAGGGTTTTCTTTCTACCTATTCATTACTTAGTCCCCATCAATTAGGATTTAGAGCCAATCATAGTACAATTTCAGCCATCACTCTGGTTGCCAATGGCATAATCACAGCATTAGACAAAAAAAACATTGTGCTGCTTCGTTTGTTGACTTGTCAAAGGCATTCGACACAGTCGATCACCAAATTCTGCTGAATAGAGTACACAACATAGGTTTACATGCTAGTGCCTGTGATTGCGTTGCTCATTATTTGTCTTCTAGGCGCCAGTGTGTAAAGTCTGGTAACTTTTATTCTGAATTCTTACCTGTAACCAAAGGTGTGCCGCAGGGCTCTGTCTTGGGTCCTGTCCTTTTTACCATTTACGTCAATGATATTCTTTCTTCTCTGAATGACTGTCATACCCATTTGTATGCAGACGACACAATTCTGTATTGCATTGCTGACTCTGTACAGTTGGCCACTGAGAAACTGCAGCTCTCTTTTAATGTTCTCCAGGAGGCTCTTATTAGCCTGAAATTAGTCTTAAATGTAAAAAAGACCAAATTTATGCTATTCTCTCAAAACATGGATTGCAACAACACACTTTTATCAACGATAGATGGCTCACTCATAGAACGAGTCACTGAATATAAGTATCTTGGCCTCTGGCTTGATGAAAAATTAACTTTTAAGTTTCATATTAATATTCTTGCCTCCACCCTGCGACAGAAGGTTGGCTTCCTGTACCGAAACAAATCTTACTTCCCATTAATCAGCAGGAAGAGAATTGTTGAGTCAGTCTTTTTATCAGTTTTGGACTACGGTGATATTATTTACAGACATGCAGCAACTACAACACTCAAACCTCTGGATTCCATTTATCACTCTGCTCTTAGATTTATTACTGGGGATAGATATGACACCCATCATTGTATACTATAAAAAAAAGTTGGTTGGTCCTCTCTTTCTGACAGACGCATGAAGCACTGGTACACGTTTATTTTCAAGGCCCTTACTGGTAAGCAGCCCCCATACATTTCATCCCTACTAGAATGGCGCTCTGGATCTTACTCAACTCGATCCAGTGGTTTGATGTTTCTTAAGGTCCCCTTTGTACATGGTAAATCAGCTTTTTCTTTTGACGCTCCAAACTCTTGGAATATTCTCCAACATGCTTTGGGGCTGGAGAATATACCCTCTCTTGCTGATTTTAAATGTATGGTGTCTGACTTTTGTAAATCGCCTTGTGATTGTTTTTCACTATAATTGTATTTATGCTTTGTTACTGTTGTAAACTCGTCGTCCCTGTAAATGAGGGAAACCTCAGTGACCAACGAGTTAAAATAAAGGTTTAGATAAATAAAAATAAATTGATGCAAAGAGAACTCTGTAGCTGTTGCTGTCTTGTGTGTGTGACAGGGGGCTGCAGCATGACATGTCCAGTGTGTGCTAGGGGTGGCACTTGATGTGCGGCACTTGATGCACACCACATGACATGCCATGGCAGCACTGGTGTGTTTTCATCTTAAAAATTCAGCTTCTCAGCAGCCTCACAAAGGTGGTGTCTGTGTACCTGTTTATCGCATTCGGCAGCAGTGATAGTAAGTGGTAATGTCACCTTGTGCATGTAAAAGATCTTACTGGTACCGTAAGTCCTCTAAATGTCTCCTAATGTCTAACTTTATGTCTGTTTCTGACAAGATATGCAAATGTGGTCCAGACTCTGATGGAGTGTGATGGGCAGCTGGAGGATCAGTATCAGGCCCTCACAGAGCAGCTGCAGAAGGCTGAGAGACACATCATTAAACTACAGGGGAGCATAGACATTCTGGCTGCACGTGTATGCTGCATACAGGAAGACCATCAGGAGGCCATGAAAGAGAAAGATGAGACAATCCAGAGGTAAGACAGACACTGATAAAATAAATAATTTAATTGGCATTTACAAAGCTGCTATTTGTGTTTACTGCATGTGGCTGTCCATCAGTGTACAGATACCAGCAGCTGTGAGCTGTGATGATGTCACCAGTTGACCAGAGATCTTTTGTTTGTGTGTGTGTGTGTGTGTGTGTGTGTGTGTGTGTGTGCGCGTGTATCTGTCTGTCTGTCTGTCTGTCTATATGTGTGCGTGTCTGTCTGTCTGTCTGTTTTATCAGCTACAAGCAGCAACTAAGTGTTGGTTTGAAGAGAGAGAGGGCCTTAGAACAGATGCAAGTCCAGATGGAGCTGGAGTGGCAGAGACGCTGTGAGGACATGAAGGTGCAGTGCTACCTTGTGAATGAGCAGCAAATACAAGATCTGACCAAGGCTCGAGACCAGGTCAGCCTCTCAAGTGTTACACAACCCCCCTCTGAACACTGTATGTGGATTTACTGGTGCACATGCATATTAAGGCAGGGTTGCCAAGTCTCACACATCTGGCGTGACTGTCACCCTTTCACCATCAATGTCACTCTCGTGCCGGTTTAAGAAATCTCACTCCACCATCGTCCAGCCCATTGTGTGGCTTGACTGGACCGCATACTATTCCGGCGTTACTCAATCCGTAGGTGTGTTGTCCAAGGTTACAGCAAGCTATCGCTGGGAAAAGGAACGAGAAAATTTGACACAACACAAGCCGAACACCTGCGTGGCAGTGAAAGCCAACCCAGTCAGGCAACTCTACATAGTTTCGGTTTCAGCAAAGTTGCCCGATTGGGTCAGCCCTCGCCGCCGCATCGGCACTCGGCCCATGCTGCACCATGCCTCCTCGCTGTTTCCTCTATAGACAGCACTCTGTGACCTACAGTAAGACGACAGAGCCATGGATTGAATAATGCTGGATAGGGCCATAATGGTACATGTATTTGTGTCGAACCGTTCGGTACGCGACTTTCGGTTCAGCACGACCCTGTACCGAATTATTGGGCGCAGGATATTATTTTATTTTATTTTGTTTTATTTTAATTCCGTTTTTGCGAGCTGAACCATTTAAAATATCTAGTTCCCTGACAGACATAATTGAGTGACGGACCGAGTCCCATAAATCTCCGCTTTCACTTTGTGCAGCGCATTCTCGCATTTTGACAACATGGCAAGTGAGCCTGACGAACCTGAAGACCCACCTGCAAACAGTCCTCCATTTGGGAACACTTTGGTTTCAGGGTAGAATATGAAGATGGAAATAAACAAGTGGACAAGACAAAAGCAGTGTGCCGGCACTGCAGAACAGCGGTCGGGTATGTACTTGGACACACGTCTAACATGCTAATGCATCTAAAGCGACACCACCCGAGTTTGAACGTTAACCGGCATGACTAGAAAAAGCAATCTGGTGCAAACTATGATATCGTCGTCGTTTAAAATAAAGAGCGTTTCCCTGACCATCGCGCTAAATAAATAACCAACACCGTTGGAGTTGAGTATAATTGTTTAAGCTGCACTTTAGATATAAGCATGTTTTGTTTACTGCACTTTAACAAAGTGGGAAAGCTAAGTAAGTTCCTAGTAAAACTGAATCTGAGCAGGCTTTAAAGCTGACCAGCTGCACTATACTTTTTATTTTAATTGAGTAAAACTGTTTAAGCAGAAATGTATATTTATATTTTTCATTCAAAAAATGTGTTAAAAAAACAGCAGGATTTTATTTTTCACTTTTATATTTCTATTTTCATTCAAACAATGTGAAAAAGCAGGATTTTATATATATTTGTTTCATTCAAAAATTGTGTAAAAAGAGTTAACTGCTGTGGTGGTATGTTTTAATAAGGTTACCAATAAGTTAAAGATATTTAATAGAAAAAACCGAACCGTGACTTGTGTACCGAGGTACGTACCGAACCAAGATTTTTGTGTACTGTTACACCCCTAATGTCGGCGTATCGCTTTAAGTTCACTCATTGCCTTCTACAGCCATCTAGTCGACAAACGCTGAAGCATAATATTTATGACCTATGATATAGTAGCCTGATAATCATTAAATATGCTCTGTGTGGGAAGCTCTCTCCCACTATTACAGTAATAAGAGGTGCAGTAAACCGCTTCAGCTTCCACACTCACTGCTCCTCCTGGTGGATAGACAGACCATTGCAACTGGTTTCTACAAATTAAACTTAGGGGGATTACCAGTCGGCCCCGTATTCTCTACGTCATTGCGGGGGATCTCATTAGAGCTACGAGCCCAGCCAGGTGACGACAGGGACCTGTCACGGATCGGTCAGGGCTCCACCATGGACCAAAAGGAAATTTGAAGTGGCTGCATCAGTGTAAGCTTTATCAAAAAGGAAGCCAGTGCAAAGAAGCTAAAACAGGAAAAATGTGATCTCATTTGTTAGTTCTGTCAGTACATGTGCCGCTGCGTTCTGAATTAGCTGGAGAGTTTTTAAAGACTTATGAGAGCTACCTGATAATAGGGAATTACAGTTATCCAGCCTAGAGGTAAGAAAAGCGTGGACCAATTTTTCTGCATCTTTTTGGGACAGGATAGGCCTAATTTTCGCAGTATTACGCAGATGAAAAAACGCAGTCCATGAGGTTTGTTTTAAATTGGTGTTAAAAGACAAATATTGGTCAAATATTACTCCGAGGTTTCTTACGGTAGTGCTAGAGGCAATGCCATCCAGAGAAACTATATCATCAGATAAAGAGTTTCTGAGGTGTTTGGGGCCAAGAAGAATAACTTCAATTTTGTCTGAATTTAACATCACGAAAGTGGAGCTCATCCAGATATTTATGGGCTAGGAGGCATCCTAGTCAGATGCCCGAACCACCTCAACTGACCCCTTTCGACGCGAAGGAGCAGCAGCTGTACTCCGAGCTCCCTCCAGATGTCCGAGCTCCTCACCCTATCTCTAAGGCTGAGCCCAGCCACCCTACGGAGAAAACTCATTTCCACCGCTTGTATCCGGGATCTCATTCTTTCGGTCACTACCCAGAGTTCATGACCATAGGTGAGGGTTGGGACATAGATGGACCAGTCAATCAATCAATCAATCAATCAATCAATTTTATTTATAAAGCCCAATATCACAAATCACAATTTGCCTCACAGGGCTTTACAGCATACGACATCCCTCTGTCCTTATGACCCTCGCAGCGGATAAGGAAAAACTCCCCAAAAAAACCCCTTTAACGGGGAAAAAAACGGTAGAAACCTCAGGAAGAGAAACTGAGGAGGGATCCCTCTTCCAGGACGGACAGACGTGCAATAGATGTTGTACAGAACAGATCAGCATAACAAATTAACAGTAATCCACATGACACAATGAGACAGAGAGAGAGAGAGAGAGAGAGAGAGAGAGAGACAGAGACAGAGAGAGAGAGATGCAGGTAATAACAGTAGCTTACAACAACATTATTGAAAGTAATAATATTATAGTTATAGTTCTGGTTACTGTGGTACAATATGTTGAAAGTATGTATTAATATCTGGCAGTATACATGTGTGACAATAGTCATATGTGTGTAATAACAGTAGAAGTATGACTAATGACTAATGATGGCAGCAGCAGCAGGAGGCATCTGGCAGGACCACGGCAGCAACACAACCACACACGTCACGCTGTCCAGGCACCGCTGCAATATGAGTTAATCTGAGAGACAGCGGAGCACAAAGGCTCCGGAGAAGAAGCCGAGTTAGTGACATCCAGAATGGCCGAGTTAGCAAGATGCAGTAATAGAATACGAGAGAGAGAGAGAAGGAGAGAAGGTGCCCGGTGTATTATAGGGGGGTCCTCCGGCAGACTAGGCCTAAGTCAGCCTAACTAGGGGCTGGTACAGGGCAAGCCTGAGCCAGCCCTAACTATAAGCTTTATCAAAGAGGAAAGTCTTAAGTCTAGTCTTAAATGTGGAGACGGTGTCTGCCTCCCGGACCGTAACAGGAAGATGATTCCACAGGAGAGGAGCCTGATAGCTGAAGGCTCTGGCTCCTGATCTACTTTTGGAGACTTTAGGGACCACGAGTAACCCTGCGTTCTCAGAGCGCAGTGTTCTGGTGGGATAATATGGCACTATGAGCTCTCTAAGATGTGACGGAGCTTGACCATTTAGAGCTTTATAAGTTAACAGTAGGATTTTAAATTCGATTCTGGATTTTACAGGGAGTCAGTGCAGCAAAGCTAAAACAGGAGAAATATGATCACGTTTCTTAGTTCCTGTTAGTACACGTGCTGCTGCATTCTGAATTAGCTGGAGAGTTTTTAAGGACTTACTAGAGCTACCTGATAATAGAGAGTTACAGTAATCCAGCCTTGAGGTAACAAAAGCGTGGACCAATTTTTCTGCATCTTTTCGGGTCAGGATAGGCCTAATTTTCGCAATATTACGCAGATGAAAAAATGCTGTCCGTGAGGTTTGTTTTAAATGAGAATTAAAAGACAAATCTTGATCAAATATTACTCCGAGGTTTCTTACGGTAGTGCTAGAGGCCAGAGCAATGCCATCTAGAGAAACTATGTCATCAGATAAAGAGTCTCTGAGTTTTTTGGGGCCAAGAACAATAACTTCAGTTTTGTCTGAATTTAACATCAGGAAATTGCTGCTCATCAAGTTTTTATGTCTTTAAGGCAGTTATGGAGTTTAGTTAATTGATTACTTTCTTCTGGCTTCATCGATAAATACAACTGAGTATCATCCGCATAACAATGGAAATTTATAGAGTGATTTCTAATGATGTTACCTAAAGGAAGCATATATAGAGTAAATAGGATTGGTCCGAGCACAGAACCTTGCGGAACTCCAAAACAAACTTTGGTACGTAAGGATGATTCATTATGAACGTCAACAAACTGAAAACGATCAGATAAATAAGATTTAAACCAGCTCAGTGCAGAACCTTTTAGGCCAATTAAGTGATCCAGTCTCTGCAGTAGAATTTGATGGTCAATTGTGTCAAACGCCGCACTAAGATCTAATAAAACAAGTACAGAGACAAGTCCTTTGTCTGAAGCAATCAGAAGGTCATTTGTAATTTTAACTAGTGCTGTCTCAGTGCTATGATGCACTCTAAATCCTGACTGAAATTCCTCAAATAAATTATTATCATGGAGAAAATCACACAGCTGGTCTGCGACTACTTTCTCAAGGATCTTTGACATAAAGGGAAGATTAGATATTGGTCTATAGTTGGCTAACATCTCTGGATCCAGGGTGGGCTTTTTAGTAGAGGTTTAATTACAGCTACCTTAAAAGACTGTGGTACATAGCCTGTTAATAAGGATATATTGATCATATCTAATATATGAGTATTAACTAAAGGAAAGACCTCCTTAAGTAGCCTAGTTGGGATGGGGTCTAAGAGACACGTTGATGATTTAGATGAAGAAATCACTCCGGTCAGTTCTTGAAGAGAAATTGGGGAAAAGCAATCTAAATATATATTAGGTTTTACAGCTGTGTTTGAGGTTAGATAGGTACTATCTGAGGACAGGAGGTCATGAATTTTGCCTCTAATAGTTAGAATTTTGTCATTAAAAAAGCTCATAAAATCATTACTGCTAAGGGCTAAAGGAATACAAGGCTCAATAGAGCTTTGACTCTCAGTCAGCCTGGCGACAGTGCTGAAAAGAAATCTGGGGGTTGTTCTTATTGTCTTCTATTAATGCTTCTATTAATGATTGAGTAAGCCAATCGAAAGCTTTGCTTTCCGGCTCAGCTCCCTCCTCACCACGACGGACCGGCGCAGCGCCCACATCACTGCAGAAGCCGCACTGACCCACCAATCCATCTCACGCTCCATTCTACCCTCACTCTTGAACAAGATCCCAAGATACTTGAACTCCCTTGCTTGAGGCAGTAACTCACCCCCAACCCGGACAGGGTAATCCACTGGTTTCCGACAGAGAACCATGGCCTCAGACTTGGAGGTGCTGACTCTCATCCCAACTGCTTCATACTGTTCCACAGCCAGGACGGAATCCGCATTGCTCCTCCTGAATCTGAGCTTCGACAATTGGTTCGGAGCCTCCTTTCCAGCACCCTGGAGTAAACTTTACCCGGGAGGCTGAGCAGTGTGATACCCCGATAGTTGGAGCACACCCTCCGGTCCCCTTTTTTGAAGATTGGGACCACCACCCTGGTCTGCCACTCCGCAGGCACCATAGCCGACCTCCAAGCGAAACTGAAAAGGTGTGTCAGCCAAGACAGCCCCACAGTGCCCAGAGCCTTCAGCATCTCAGGACGAATCTCATCCACACCCGGCACTTCACTGGCACAGTGGACATGATGGCCGGGTTCAGGAGGTTCTCAAAGTGCTCGGGTCAGCAGTTCTCCCTCTCACAGCCTGAGACAAGCCCTGCTTTCCATTCCTGAGTCAGTTAATGGTCTGCCAGAACTTCCTTGAGGCCAACCGAAAGTCCTCCATAGCCTCCCCGAACTCCTCCCACACCCGGGTCTTTGCTTCAGCGACCACCACAGCTGCAGCCCTTCTGGCCAACCGGTACCTGTCTGCTGCTTCAGGAGACCCCTGGGCCAGCCAGACTCGAAAGGCCTCCTTCTTCAGCCTGACAGCCTCCCTCATTGCTGTGAACCTCACAGCTCCCAGGTTCACAGGGACACTCAAACCCCTCCACCGCGTTAAGATGCCGATTTTTGGAGGAGCTTTTTTAGAAGAGGTTTATTTACAGCTACCTTAAATGATTGTGGTTTATATATTGGTCATGTCTAATAGGTGAGTGTTAGCTAAAGGTAAAATTTCCTTAAGTAGCCTAATTGGAATGGGGTCTAAGAGAGACATTGATGATTTAGATGAAGAAATCATTGGGGTCAATTGTTGAAGAGAAATCGGGGAGAAGCTACCTAAATATATATTAGGTCTTACAGCTGTGTTTGAGGGCTGATTGGTTCCGTTCGAGGTCATGAATTTTGCATCTAATAGTTTTTGTCATTAAAAAGCTCATGAAGTCATTACTGCTAAGGGCTAAAGGAATACAAGGCTCAATAGAGCTGTGACTCTCTGTCAACCTGGCTACAGTGCCGAAAAGAAACCTGGGATTGTTCTTATTTTCTTCTGTTAATGCTGAGTAATCATTTGCTCTGGCATTGCGAAGGGCCCTCTTATACGCTTTGAGACTGTCTTCCCAGACTAAATGAGATTCTTCCAGTTTGGTTAATCGCCAATTCCTGCGATATTTGTTTTAATTTTTGACCAGACTGTCAATGCCTCATTTGTGACTCCAGATGGAGAATGTAGCACCAACAATAGGTATGAGCTGACAAACACCAGCCTTGCCACTCATTAATAGTGATAATAATTTATATTCTGCCACCTGTTTGGGCAGTAAGTGCACTGATCTTTGTCACGGTCTTGAAATAGAAATGGATTCACCTGTGTTTCATTGCTGGTTTAAAGGTCAAGGCTGATAATGGTATGAATAATAATAACATTTAATGTTGGTCTCTTTAAGGTTAAAGCAGAGCTGAAGGAGAAAGAACAAGATCTGCAGGACTTGACTGTCTTACTACGTTCTGTTCAAACTGAGAGAGACCAGGCAGTACAGGTGAGAATACATCCACCTCACACCATGCAGACAAATAGAACCATAGGTTCTGTTCAAACTGAGACAGACCAGGTTGTAGGTGAGAATACATCCACATCACACTGTGGAGACAAATAGAACCAAAGCAAAACAAAGCACATAACTTGTCACCTACCAGACAAGCTTGCTGACCTGTATGGAAACAGCCCACTCATCATCACTCCTCAACATTTAGTGGGTCTGTACATAGACTTTGATTAATTGTGTAGTGAACTGACTGTCTTGTTTTCACACCTGCACACCAACACAAAATCTCTGACCTTGTATTGCACACAGTCGCACAGCATAAGCAGGACTGGGGGTGGAGTATAGTCATCTTGTTGAGTTTCTGGTTGTCGATGCATCATTCCTCTATGTGTACTCCCTACTGATGTACAGTAACACATCTGGTAATGGCTTATCTGAGTCTAAAGAAAAATAAAAGCCAGTTAGCAAACCAAGGCTGTAAAGTGCTCCAGCTCAGTGGCATAAATCTCCAAAAATTATGTTACCCCTCAATTTGAAAAATCGACTTTACCTATCACATTTTCACCTTCAGAAGGCTTTTTTTAATGACTGTCACTCTGATGGTGATAGCAGCTCAGAGATCCTCAGGGTTGTAATCACTGTAATGTACATAGGTGCCTGAGTGATGGAGCAAGAGGAGCAGCTCTAACTCTACTATTAGACTTTGGCAAATGAACATGTTTTTTACATCACCACTTTTTGATCTTGCAACATTCCTTTCTCTAAACATTCAAGCTAGTTTGGATCAAAAGAGTTCTCTCTGGCTGTTTCATAGGTAGTTTATGAATAAAAATGACATTTCCCATCCTAACTAAAGCAGTTTTCTTGTATTATGTCTCCTTGCCAGCAATAGCCGTGGCTAGAGGCATTATGTTTTCGGGTTGTCAGCCCATACGTAAGTATGTCCCATTCTTGTGAAAGTGATATCTCAAAAACGCGTACATTTATGAACACTAACATTTGCTTGAACTCAACGATGAACTTTTTAGATTTTGGTGGTCACAGGTTAGAGGTCAAGGTCAGTGTGACTTTGCATCCATCTCATTCTCATGAACAAAATATGTCAAAAACAGCTTGAGGGATGAGAGTAGGTGTTTCTGCGATCATCTGGAAAGTTCAGGATGAGACCGATCACGGAGTTCTTTCTTAATGCACGTTTATTACGAGCTCGGATCAACAATGGCTACATGCAGAAGCTATATGATGATGTGAACAGAGAGAGACACAGCTTATATACTAGGATAGTAGCCTGAGTGATGTTACCTAAATGGTGCTTTGCCAAATTTAACTTGGCCTTGGGCCAACTAAAATTAGTCTAACTTGTCCATCTAGTGCTTCTGACGCCATGACAGCTGTCCTGACTAGGGCTGGGTAAAAAAATCGATTCAATCGATTAAGGATCGAAATTTTGCAGTATCAATCCATAGGACATGAGATCGATTTTTTCCCCATGAACCACAGTCTCGTGCGCAATGACGCAGAGGCGCGTTTACGTCCGGTTGACGTTCACAAGCGTGCAGACACACAATGGCCGACACAGGCAAAACTCCGCTCAGCAAGCCGTCCCAACTTAAGTCTGACATGTGGAAGCATTTCGGATTTAAAACAACACAGGACAAAGAGCTGGATAAAACCAAAGTGGTTTGCAATATCTGCCAAGTGGAGGTCAGTTATTGTAGAAATACTACAAACCTCAGAAACCACTTGACAAGGTATCACACTATGCTAACGTTAGCTTCCGACAACAAGCCGTCCGGGGCAAAACAAAAGAAACTGAGGGAATCACTAACATTACCAGCCGATTCTCCGTGGGCCATAAAGATAACGGAGGCCATCGCAACTTTTGTTTGCAAAGATTTACGCCCGTACTCTGTAGTGGAAAAAGAAGGCTTCAAGCGGCTCGTTCAGGTGCTCGAACCACACTACGTTATGGTGCAACGTAAACATCTGACTGAGACTGTTATCCCCATGATGTATACACGTGTGAAAGACGACATCCTAACGAAAATGCAGTCAGCAGAGAGGGTCGCCATAACCTGTGACACCTGGACATCACTGTCAACACAGTCGTGCATGACAGTGACCTCTCACTACATCGACAATGAGTGGTGCCTCATGTCTCATGTGCTACAGACCACAGAGGTTCTCACGAGCCACACTGCTATTAATATAGCTGATATGTTGACGGAGGCCATACAGGAGTGGGGGCTGACCAGCAAAGACCCAGCAATCGTGATGGACAACGCTGCAAATATGGTTCGTGCGGTGGAGATAATGCAGCTAATGCACGTCGGATGCTTCGCGCACACATTGAACTTAGCCTCACAAGCAGGTCTGAAAATCCCAGCCGTGTCACGTCTGCTTGCTCGAGTGAGGCGTATAGCAACGTTCTTTCACCGGAGTACGACGGCAAACCACATACTGAAAGAAAAACAGAAGCTACTTCAACTGCCAGCGCACAAGCTAACAGTAGACGTTGTGACTAGGTGGAACAGTGCACTGGACATGCTGGAGCGCTTTTTAGAACAACAGCCAGCTATCTTTGCCACTCTCCTTTCACAAGACGTGCGCAGGAATGAAAAAGATCTGTGCACCTTAACAGAGGAAGATGTAACGATTGCCGAAGATTTGGTGCGGGTCTTGAAACCAGTGAAAGAAGCCACACTGGCAATGTCGGAGGACAAGCAACCAACTCTGTCCGTCATCGCCCCACTTCTCGCCCTGCTGCAGGAGGCCTTGACCCCCAGCCTCGAAGACTCCACCGTGGTGAGGGACTTGAAGGCTGCTGCAAAGAATAACTTGAGGACAAGGTATGCTAAGGTCTCGCTCTTTCTGTGTGTGTGTGTGTGTGTGTGTGTGTGTGTGTGTGTGTGTGCACGCACAATAGTCAGTGGTAGGTCAAATCAAAACATTACAAAGCAAAGTTTTGTATTTTATATGTGCACTTTCTTCTCATTTTACTGATTAGTTGTAGCAGTTAATAATTTATAATCCATGCACTTTTTTGTTTGTATGTGTGAGATTGTTTATTTGTATGCATGCCATGTTTATCCTCATACTGTGATACCAAAAATAATTTGTGAAATGTCTTTAAGATATGATGCGCAGAAGGACACATTGTATGCAGCATCAGCGCTGGATCCTCGCTTTAAGGCCCTACCATCCCTGTCCGCTAAAGAGCGAGATGACACCTTCTCCAGACTGCAGTCTGAGGCTGCCACTGCTGCATGTGATGTAAGTATTTTAAAAAAAACTGTTCAGTTTAATAAGAATGTTTTCATTGAGAATTAAAAGATTCTCTATTGGATTATAAGGAATAGTATAAAATATAAAAGAGTTCATAAATGATTTTCAATCTATTTATTTATTTATTCATTTATTTATTTCTGTTTTTTTTTTTTTCTGTCTTATTCAACAGCAAAATACTGATGGTAATGATGCTGAGGAAGGAGCTGAGGAGATGGGGAAGCGACTTCGCCCAAGAAGCCCAAGAAATCCAGCACCTTGGAGTCTCTCCTTGGGGCAGTCTACTTACCAACAGTAAAGGAAAATGAACAGAAAACTCCAGCAAAGAGGGCTCAAGATGAAATCAGAAGATACAGGGCGGAAAAACCTGCTGGGCTGAATGAAAATCCTCTGACCTGGTGGAAGTCAAATGAAAGGGAGTATCCACTGTTGGCTCGCCTGGCCAAGCAATACCTTTGTGTCCCAGGGACCAGTATTGCATCAGAGAGGGTGTTTTCAACTGCGGGTGATATTGTCACTGCAAAAAGGAGCTGCCTAACCCCAGATCATGTCAATGAGCTCCTTTTCCTAAACAAGAATCTCACAATTACCAAGTGAGAACAAAGTCACAATAACAGGACTTGACTTTAGACAGTTTAAGTGTACTTTTAGTTTTGTAACCATTGTTATTATTTTTGCACTTTAAGAAACAATGCCTTAATGCAATTTGCAGTGATGGAATGTTGTGGTTCAAGTACACTTTCACTTGCAATTCCTTTCTAATGTCAAAATTGCACTTTTGAGACTTGAGACAGCTTTGTTTACAGTTCAAGTTTGAACTGTGCAATTTACATGTTTGCACTTAAAACCTATTGTTTATAGTGAAGAGAAAATATAAGTGCATTTGTATTTTGTAACACAGTTGAGCCATTTTCATTATATAAGAGCAGATCGAATTTTAGTTTTGTAACCATTGTTATTATTTTTGCACTTTAAGAAACAATGCCTTAATGCAATTTGCAGTGATGGAATGTTGTGGTTCAAGTACACTTTTACTTGCAATTCCTTTCTAATGTCAAAATTGCACTTCTGAGACTTGAGACAGTTTTGTTTACAGTTCAAGTTTGAACTGTCCAATTTACATGTTTGCACTTAAAACCTATTGCTTATAGTGAAGAGAAAAAATAAAGTGCATTTGTATTTTGTAACACAGTTGAGCCATTTTCATTATTTAAGAGCAGATCGAATCGAATCGAATTGAATCGTGATTAATCGATTCAGAACCTTATGAATCGAAATCGAATCGATTTAGGAAATTGGCCACAATACCCAGCCCTAGTCCTGACAGAACATGGTCCTCAGGGGGTCTTGACCAAGTAGCCACTGGTCAGTGAGGATGTAAAAATACATATTAACAAGGGAATTACTTCAAATTTGGCACAAACATCCAGTTGGATTCAAAGATGAACTGATTAGATTTTGGTGGTCATAGGTCAAAGATCAATGTCAGTGTCACTTCATCTTTCTCATTCTCATGAACATGATATCTCAAGAATACCTTTAGGGAAATTCTTAAAATTTGGCACAAACATCCATTTGGACTAAAGAATAAACTGACAAGAATTTTGTGGTCAAAGTTCAAGGTCACTGTGATCTCACAATACATGTTTTTGGCCATAACTCAAAAATTCATATGCTAATTACGGCAAAACTTCACACAAATGTCTAATAGGATAAAATGATGAAGTGATGACATTTTATATCCAAAAGGCCATTTTAATATCATAATATTGACATTTGATCAGATACTGAATTGGTGACACTCATCTTGGAACTTGAAACTGTGCTGATTGTGTAGATCCTCTGTCTGTGGGGGGGTTACATTTGAATGGACAATAAGCCACACAGCGGTGAGATTTATTCCTGATCAGAATTGTTTGTGTTAGATTCAGTTTTCCATCTCCACCAAAGAGCAACAACTAGCCACTTCCCTAGACTTTATTGGAATATACTGTTTCCTGTGCATCACTTCAATGCAGTGCAGGCCTACATGTGTTCCTTCAAATAAGAATGGTAACACTTTAGATTACAGCCTGCAATTCTTCCCAACTGAAAGTGTAATTATTTGTACATTCTAACAGTGTACCAGTACAGTACGTACCGATACGGGATGTCAGTTTCGGTTACTTTTGCTTTTGACAGCCTGACACCCATTAAGTGGTGACTAAATCGTTCACTTTTAAGAGTAAAAAAGAAAGACATGACCAAATGACATAAAACACAAGAGGCATTGGGGCTCAACATTAACGCTTGCCTCTTTGTTTAGGCCAGTGAAATGCCTTATGCATTTTTCGGATCGGGCAGGTGAAACATTAATGTGATATCTAATGTCACATTATCTGAAAGCACGTGCTGCTGAAGTGGAGCTTTTCCAGCTGAGCTGCGTGCAAGAATGTGTGAATTAATGAGAAACATCTGACAAACTGGACATTGTAGAAGTTAACTCTGGGGTCCACCACGTCATATAGGACATAATCTTACAAACGTTAATATCTCTGGACCGCTGCATTGACTTTTTGCCAGAAGCTAACATTAGCTAAGTGTCATGCTGTTCCAACAAGGGCTCTGGTGCAATTGTATCCCTTTCAGAAGCCTTTTAATCCAGCCTTGAACTGCTGTTAACCATTGACATCCCTAGTACCGATACATAATGTAGGAACAATGTAACAGGATGTGAAGTTTGGGGAGAAGGAGGTAACAATCTGGCAACTTAAGAGAATTTGTGCTGAAGATATTTTTTTAACTAATGGGTAACTACTCTGATATTACGGGATGTAGTACAGTGGTGCATTGCTTAGCACTGTCGCCTCACAGCAGAAAGATTCCAAGTTAGAATCTGCCAGCAGACTGGCTCTTCTATCCTTCTGGCCCTTCCCCCTGTGTCAGTGTTGATTTTCTACAGGTTCTCCAGCTTCCTCCCACAGTCCAAAGACACGCAGGTTAAGCCTAGTTCACATTACATGATTTTCACCGCGATTTTGATGTCGCAGAGGATCTTGAGAGCCACCTTCAGCCACGACGAGTCCTCATGTGTGAACAAGCCTAGCAGCAAGTCACCCCCTCATCTGTGACTGGGACTGGATATCTGGCATGCTAGAAAACTGGACAAGTGTGACACGACTGACAAAGATCATCAGCCAATGAGAGGCGGGATACGTCCCACGTCAGCACGCAGGAGGACAGAAGAAATGTGAGGAGGACAGGTGCCAGGTCCGCTTATTAGCCGTGACTTTGGGCTTGTTTTTTTGTAAAGTCGCTTACAAATATTGGTAGTCATGGGTTGCATTTTTTTGGGCTTGTTTCTGAAGTGTAGTTGCTTATTTGGACTTGCTCTCTAAACGTCGCCTTTCTCTATATATATCCGTAGCTTCTTTTGGGCTTATTTCCATAGCCCCGGTTGCTTGTTTTTCTCTCAAGATCTGGCAACACTGGCAAGCCAGCAAGCAACAACAACAATGGCGGCGTCCACAGGATCACGGGGAGCGCATTGTGTTTGGACCCAGGCCCTGAAGGCAGATCTGATTCAACACTGGGAAGAATATCCATGCCTTTACGATGTGTCGTCTCCAAGTTAAAAAACGTAGTTTGGTGACGTCACTGCATTATCTGGGGCACTGTCGGCGAGGGCTCGGTGGAGAAATCTTGTGGTGTGCACACACAGGTCGTAACGCAGTTGGCGAGACTCCTTGACAGAAACACACGTCGCCAGGTATGAACACTCAAAAGATTACGATAGTCTCTGCGACAAAATCAGGGTGAAAATTGTGTAATGTGAACTTGACACGTTTCAGAAGAAAAGACTCAGATGCAGAGAAAAGAAACCCAGGACAAAAAAATGCAGAAAGTCAAAGTTCTTTACTCAAAAATTCAAGCAGAATCCAAAGGAAGGCAATTCCAAGAGTAACATACCAAAAGTCTTCAAAGTCCAAAAAACAGGCAAACAAAACTAGAACCACAGGGCTGGAAAGCATGAACACACTGGGAGACAATGGTAATCTGGCAGAGGGCTGGTGAAAACACATGGTATATATACACAGGTGAAGGTGATTACAAATCAGTCACAGGTGGGTGATCAAAAGGCGGGAAAAGAACAAAGACAGGAAGTATAACTAGACATCAACCAAAAACAACAGGATTTCAAAATAAAACAGGAAATTAACACAAACACACTAACAGCTAAAGAGAACATTACAGAACTAGGCTTTAGGTGTGAATGAAAGTGTGAATGGTTGTTTCTTCATGTGTCAGCCCTGTGATAGTCTGGTGATCTGTCCAGGGTGTACCTGCCTCCCGCCCAATGTCAGCTGGGATAGGCTCCTGCCCTGCCTCGCAACCCTGTACCAGGATAAGCAATTACAGATGTTGATGGTGAAGATGATGATGGTGATGATGATGATGATTTATTTTAAAATAAATCTACATACTTACACTGGAGGGGTACAGATGGTCACAAAAATCGCATTCGGCATAGTTCTTAAATTATTTTAAAAAAAATAAAAATATTTATGATGAAATAGAGTGGCTAAGACCAAAATAGCGACCATTGCTCCTCTTCTGAGAATTTGGCTTTCCCCTGCCTGGCTTAACACTGCTGCCTATGGCCATGTGTGAATCTGTCCTAAAACCACCCTAAACGTTCGTTTTCAAAGCCATGAAACTCACCGAGTGGTCAGTGGTGTTCGTTGATATTCTGACATAAAAATCGTAGCAAACTGTGGTTTTCGTGATGATTTATTTGACCCCAGTGGTTTTCTATAGAAGCCTCATTGTCCGTTGGTAGTAATCCACCGCCGGAAATGGAAAGGGGGTTGTTTACATCAAGGCTGTAGTTGTAGTCTTTTAGCTCAGTGAAAGTGCCGGCTCGACAGTGCTTTGTGCGCTCCTGTAGGAAGAACGAAAATGAACAAAAAAGTTTTGTAATAAGTTTAAACAACTGCACAAAGGATTTTGAAAGGTGGATTCTGGATGATGACGCATTCGAAATTGATTTTGATAGCCGTGGTTACCGATTAGAACCGGAGTTTACCGAGGAGGAACTTCGTCAAAGAGAGATGGAGATGGAGATGGAGGCCAGGGCTGCAGAGCCGTCTGAAGCCCAGAGCGGCTCAGCTGAAGCCGGAGCTGTCCTCAGAGTCACTGGCACTTGGTGGTGTTTCTGTGGAAAGTGCAGACAGATGCCCACAGAGGAAGAGAGTAGGTGCTGTGCCAAATGGGACCTCATAGTCACTGCGGAGATGGAATGTCTATGTTGACGAGACTGATGTGTCACCGGCCTGTATCACGGACAGCAATGTTTGCCAGCTGATAAATAGACCTGTTCTGGAGACTTTTTTTTACGTCCCTAAAATAAACTGGAAAAAGCGTCCAACACCCGAGGGATTGAATGGGCAGCTGTCAGAGAGGCAGGCTATATAACCTTTTTGCTCTTTGATGTAATGAATTTCAATTTCAGAAGTCCGTCCAAGTCATAGCATATGTTTGGGCTAAATACACATAGGCTACATAGGCTAGGCTATAGCAGCAGCCCCTTGAAAACAAACATTCTGTTATTCCCTGCTACCTTGTCATCACTGTTTACTGATGCAGAATCTATGCAATATCCATGTTACTTTCTGTCAATACCGACTGGTGGCATATAGAGTGATTCTGGAGTGGGCCCTCAAGGGCCAACAACTTGGACGTGGAAATCGAGTTGCACTGCCTAGTTGTGTGGTGTGGGCCATCAGAGACGCGTTCCCATCCCCCACTGTACAGTATGTACAGCATTGTAACCAAAATGCAGTCGTTTAGGCAAATACTTCAGCATAACATTGTGGTACAGCTCCAAAGAACCTGTAAATGAAAGTCATTTATTAGATAGTGAGAGCTATTACCTAGGTGAACAAAGCCCTGTAACAATAACATGTCTAACATGCTTGTGTGATTTTGCATAGATGTGCTTCATAAGGCTACGTACCAGTATGTTTAAAGTGAGTCATCTGCTCAAGGTCTTTCAGAAGTCTTTTATCTTTGACACTTGACTGTAGACCCTTGACCGCTTTGGAATCTGGGTGGAGCCATCGCTTCTGCTTTTCCTCATCTGGGCTTAGGGCAGGGTGAGGGCATGCCCACTTT